CTACTCAAGTCCCTTCCGACCCTAGAAACTATGAAACTACTGTGAAACTATGCCTCCTGAAAACAGAAGCACACAGGACAGCAGCATTTATCTCCAGGCAGAGGTATTTAGCTCCCAACAGCTCCTGAAAAGAGGCACATGGGACAGTTCCATCTGCCCTGTATGCCTCTGTTTCTGGGACATAGTGAGGAGGGATTGTGCAGCAAGAGTGCGTACTCCTGCCACAGCCACTTCCTGACCTGGCTCTGGGGACAGCAAGTGAAATAGTTCCATCCAGGGTAGTAATGGGCTGAATATAATTATCTATTCAATTAATAACATTCTAATTAGTAATGTAATCATAACATTTATAATATATTTATACTCTTTTTTTTATATAGCGTGCCACTGAATTTTGAAAAGTTTTGGGAGGGTGCCTTGTGTCTATCGAGGTGGACAGCCACTGATTTAGAGTGCCATTTCCATCTGAGCTAAGGTTCTACTGGAGTTCTCATGATGCATTTTAAGATTATGCCAGATTCCTAGGTGTACTCTAGCACAATTTGTGGCATCAACCTTTCATTTTTTTTATTACCAGAAACAAGAAGAAGATCTGCTTAACAGACTGTTTCTGTGTTCTGGCATAGCAGGGGGTAGAGGAGCAGTTAGGATCAAAAGCAAAAACCAAGCAACTTTCCACTCTGGAATCCTAGAATAGAACTTTAGAGATCTTTCTCTCAATGAAATGTTCATACCCATGGGATTTCAGAGGAAATTGGTATACCCCCATCAGAAGTGCAACATTGAAGTGCAAAGAGCAAAATGATTTAGAATGAGTAGTTTCGGAATCTCCTTTTAAGGAAGAACATTTTGGCCATTAAACCTGGATTTCAACCCATTCTTATCTGTGACTGAAGACCATGAATGCAGATTCTTCACCATACCATGCCCATAGTAGGTCAAATATCATGTTTTGGTCTTTCAGAGGGGATGACTGTAAGCATTTCACTCTGCAATTAGGACCCCAACATATTTATACACTTCTATATTTTGGCTTCTCTGAATACTTCATTCAGTTTCTAACTGTTCTCTTTCACCATAGTGGAGGAGTTTTATATATTCCGGGCAATTTGCTAAAAGAAATGCGTATTTTCTCTATTCTGCCCACCCCCACCATAGTGTTTTACACTATACGTTTGCAAGTTGATTTGTGAGACTTCGTAGGAGAGATTCTAAAACAGGCAGTGTTTCTCAACCCATGTATGCATACCGCTGGGCATACACAAGACACAGGCAGGGGGTACATGGTGCCGTGTTTTGAGTTTGGCCCGTCATTCCCACCCCCCCAACTGCCTGGTGGGTTGGAGGCATCTTTGCCTGTTCAGGCTGGAAGTTCCAGCCACCGCCCCCTCCTGCCACATCCAGTGCACCGGGACTTTCACTTCCCGACATCAGTGTGCCAGGGGACAGGGAGCGGGGCCCCGCGCAGGCTGTTTTGCCCTGGACCATGGTCCACAAGGAAAAAGTGGGACTCAGCTTGCGGCAGCAAAACCAGAAGTGCCAGAGTGGGACTTCCGGTTTCACTTCCACCATGTCCATCATGCAAGGTACCAAAGGTTGAGAACCACTGTTCCATATCACCAGCTTTGGGGCCATTGTTCTGAATGCGCACATGCGCTGTCATCAAGCCATGAATTAAAGTATTAGCTTCTATAAAGAAACATTGGCAGTAGATTACCTGGATAACTTTTCACCAGTTGATCCATTAAGGTTTCCTGTGTAACAGCAATATGAGCTTCATTCATATCAGATATGACACAGCAAAGAATTTCTGCCAAAGGAACAAACTGGGATTGGGAAATGGGATTCATGTGAACTGGAGATACATCCCCTAAAATGTAAAAAGAGAAAGAAGAGATAAGTTGTTTGCTTGGGGTGTTGACTTGTTTTTTATTGTATGTACTGTAGGCACTTAAACATGAACTTGTGACAACACTTCCTTCCCTGTTAGCACAACACTGCATGCTCTACTCAGAAGCAAAGCTATTGGTAATTGGTCCATGTGTAGCTTCTGGTTTGACTGTGCCCTTGGTGGCCAGGCACAGCTGTACCACCCACACTTTCCAGCCCATTCCTCTTCCCACTCCTTTTCAGTGGATCATTGCACTCCAAGCCAGTTGTTTACTGTTTCTGTTTTATTTCCCTCTGTATTTTTAGAATAGGATATTATTACTTAGTTTCCTGACCGGGAGACAGAGGGCCAGGAGACAGGAACCCAGAGACTAGAATTCTGCAACGTATTTATTAAATCAATGTGAACAGGAAAAATAAGACACACCAGAATACTTTTTTTCTGTGTAAGTTGTACAATTCATAAGTAGCAAGTGTTTACCAATTTGGACAACATCTTGCAAGTCATTACACTTGGGAAGCAGTGTGACCTAATCAGTCATGGGAATTAACTAGTTAAAAAGTTAAAGAAATGGTTAACTTTTAACTATAGTTAAAAAAAAAAAAGATTAACTTTTTTTTTTAAAGTGTAAGTTAAAAAGTTAAACATTGAAATCCAGCTTTCCCAGAGTTTTGAGATAC